GATTATGCGATTGTGTGGCAGCGGCGCGGTCGCGTTTTTTCGTGTAATTCTGCAACATTTGCATAATTTTGGATTCCCCGCGCTTTTTAACGATATTTTCCTTTTTTTTTCAACAACACAATATTAACGCCTCGCCATGTGACTAAAGGGAAGTAATCAATGTAATAAGTCTCATTTAAGTAAAAAGTTGGTTATTTCCCTTGTTAGAAGATCTTGATTATAGGTTGGGGTTTTGTTCCTTGAGCCTGTTCAATTTTTCAATCCATCAAAAGTTGTTGTTCTAAAGTCTGCTGATGTTTCATGTATGACAGGTGTCCCTGGCTTTAGTAATGTGCCAGCATCAGAGATCCAGATGTCCTTTTTTTTCTTTTTTTAAATACATTTTTCTTTCCTCTCTATAGAGATCTAGATCTACAGCTGACAGTTGCATAGATTATATTTTTTGGTTGTTTTTTTTTCTGACTGATGTGTATTGTTTTCTTTCTAAATACACAACAAATTACTGATACTGATATGTTTTGTTTTCAATTTTTCTGTACATAAAACATGAAAATCATGAAAATTCTTGCTGAAAAAGTGCTAAACATGTCGTGAATGTTGTTACGGTAACTTGCATAATTTTTGCATAATTTTGCTTTTTTTGTGTGCATAATTTGGGCCATCTAAATTTGCATAATTCTACGGGGACAGCTTTATATACATTACATATATAATAAATAAACTCGCACAAAAAAGTCAAGGAACAAAAATTCGAAGAAAGATAACTGAAGAACAGTTTAACCGAATTTATTCATTTGTTCACAAAAGATGCTTTCGACTCTCTAAATTAAATGTGTACAATTTCAGATTTCAACAACAACGAGAAGTTCATGTAAAATGAGTTTAAGTCACACTGGTCGGATTTCAAAATTCTGAAAAGCCATAGTTCTTCATGAACATTGTCAACAGTGGATGTAGCCACTCCGTTTGAGCAAACACTCGGCACAGCGTCGACGCATGTACAGGACATGCCTTCGGAAAACTTGTTGGGGTAGGTTCTGCACTCCTGGACGAGGTAAGAGTTGTTGAAGGTTTTGTGAAGGAGGGTGGCTGTCCCTTATCCATAGGTAAATGTGATCCCAAATGTTCTCTTTTGGGTTCAAATCCGGACTACAAGCTGGTCAGTCCATGGGGGTGACAGCTCGCTGCTGCAGGAAGTCCCCCACGGTACGTGCGCGATGTGGCGTGGCGTTGTCGTCCTGCAGTACAACCTGGGGTCCAATCTGCTGTAGGAGAGAAACAGCAAGGGAAAGCAGGACTTCTTCTCTGTACCTCTCTGTACTGTCAAATTACCCTGTATATGGTACAGGGGGACCTGTGGTGAGCTGAGAAGCCTCCCTACACCAGAACGAACCCTCCACCACAGGGCGCCACCTACTGCATGCTCTCAGGAGGAAACAGCTCTCTTCGTCGCCTCCAGACGTGGGTTCGCCTTTCTGGGTGCAGCAGGTTGAATCTGGATTCGTCCGAGAAGTCTACCTGGTTCCACTGACATTGTGTCCACTGTGAATGGCGAGCAGGCCACGCCCGGCGAGCTGCTTTGTGGGGCAGCGTGTGCCTTGGGTGCCTGGAAGGGACTCGAGAAGCTAACCCTGCTCTACGGATACGGTTCCTTACCGTCTCCTCGTTCTCGTGGACATTGGGAGTCACCCGCAGTTGTTTCCTGATGCTGTTTGCAGTGGTGGTTCGTGACGTCACGGACTGTCTGACAATGAACCGGTCGATGCTGTTGTTGGTCAAACGGGGCTGTCCTGGTCGAGGCCTGTCCTGGACCCTTCCGGTTGCTCGCCATCGTTCTTGCAGCCTCTATATGACTGACGGAGACACCCCAAGTTGATGTGCAACAACTGGGAACGTGGAGCCATCTTGGAGCCAGGTATTGGATCGTCCTCTGTCGACGTCAGACCGCGAGCGTTGTTGGACCATCGTGTTGTAATGAAACATGGCTGAAAAAAGGGTTGTAAATGAGCAATATTCATAGCTAAGACATCTCTTTTGCACGTGCCAAGCTTAGTTTTAGCTAACAGTCCCTATGCCAATGTTGCTGAGTCAGGGAAATTTAGCCCATTTTTCATGCTTTTCGGTTGTGTTTCAGAATGCTCTGCGCCGTCGCTATGAAGCTGGTGCTGGCAAATTTGCTGTACAAGCATACTGTGTCTTGTCATCAGTGCGTGTGCCAAGTTTGGTTGACTGATCTTAACGCGTTTGTGAGATATTGAAGTTTGAATTTGACAGGTGAAAACACAAGATGTTCCTTGACTTTTTTGGGCGAGATATATATACAATGTATATGGGTAATTCTCCTGAAAACTTGAACTTTTCGTAACACGGGCATCAAATTTTAGAATTCAACCAAATTGCTTGAAAATGTACTCAGTACACATTTGACTTGTCTAGTTTTGATCCCTTCAAGGTTGTAGCTAAAGCTTGGTTTCTTTGAAAACGGAAGTGAAGTTTAGATTAGTGCGCTACGGTCTTAAACGTTACCGGACACAACAATGCCGGTCAAAACATGAAATATGATAGAGTGAAAGAAAAATTGATTGGGCAAGCACAAAGTCCTTTATATTCCTTGTTTGTCCACTCAAATTTCAAAACATTTCTTAAAGAGGAAAATGCTTATCAAACAATCATACTGTCTTTAATGCTACCGGGCTAGAATTATTTTTCAAATAGAAAACTATACTTTTATTTACAAAAATACTAATAAAAGTAGAACTTTTTAAAAGTATTGATATAAAACAGAAAATGTAATAGTGTAGTTTCAGTAAATATGAACAAAATCGATAAATGTTTTTAAGCAGCAACAATTGCTTAATGTAGTAGTCTTAAATGTTACAGGACAAAAGATACAAAAGAAATGTGCAGAATAAAGGACAATTTGTTTCTTCAAAATAATATGCAGACCTACTGAAAACTAAATGTCTATTGAAATACCTCTTTGATGTTATCTGCTATGTTTTTAGAAGAAGAAAAAAATCAACTTATTGACCTATTGAGCATTTTATAGAGACTTCAAATTTACGCCACCAAAATCTTGTAGCAGTTATAAAGTGAAACTTGAAATCCAAACTGAACTGAAATTAATTTTCCTAACAATAGAAGCAGCAGCAGTAGCAGAAGCAGTAGTAGTAGTAATGGTAGAAGCAGCAGCAGCAACAACAACAAACAACAGTAGCAGAATGTCAAAAAGCATATTCATCGCCTTCATTATTACTACTAACATTGTCAAAATACATCGTTGTTGATGGCAGCAAACAGTGTTCTATCTTTCTGATATTTCTTGTGACATTATGATGATGTTCAATTCCCAAAATGTTTCCACGGAATGGTGATGATGTTGAAGATCATTTGAGAGCACAACGATTTTGTGAGTCTTGTAGCATCCAATTTGGCACACTTTGGATGAATAGATCTAGTTCATTTGTCCGTAGCTCAAACAGGAAGACCTCTACTTCCCTAACAGCTCTTTATGATTTCAAGAACACGCAACATTGCCATTGAGCATGAAACAAGTGAATGGAAAGTTTACTAGCTGCTGTTCAGAGTGCAGAACTGCACTCAGCAAGGATGAGGAACGTCAATATGTCCTTTTGCTGCTTTGTTGGGAAAGATTTTTTTGACGTGCATCTTCCAAAGTTTGCTTTCGAGCTGCTTTGGCTTTTGGAAGGACTTTCACAACTCTGTGGACAACTTGTTTGGCGGATATGAGTGTCTGTATGACACTTCCTCGAATATATGGATCCTTCTTTCTTCTTCTCTGCGTCTTCACCCTTTTCCTTTTTTGAATGGTACCTTTCTCTAGACTTAGCATTGACTGCCCTTTTCTTCTGACTTGACCAGGATGCTGTTACCTCTCTTGTGTCGCTTTTCCATTTCTTTCTTTAGTATCACTTGCCCAACAAACCTACCTTTTGCAACTTTGCTAGTAGTAGTGGGAGCCAAAGTGGGTTTTTTTTTCATTCTTGTTTTTCCTACATTTCTTAACTTGTTCGTCGGTCTTTGCCCTGTGATTTGCCACCTTCTTTTCCAAGCCGAACGTCTTCAGCTCTTTACGATTGCACATCGTTGTTACCCTTTGTTTTCTTAAATCGGTCGTTGTGTTCCTTAGTTGGCTCTCTCTCTCTCTCTCTCTCTCTCTCTCTCTCTCTCTCTCTCTCTCTCTCTCTCTCTCTCTCTCTCTCTCTCTGTCTGTCTCTCTCTCCCTCTCTCTCCCTCCCTCTCCCTCTATCTCTCTCTCTCTCTTTCTCTCTCCCTCTCTCGTTATCTCTCTCTTTTCTCTCTCTTTTCTCTCTCTTTTCTCTCTCTATATCTCTCTTTTTCTCTCTCTCATTCTCACTCGCTATTTCTCCAGTCTCACAGTCTGGCATGCACATGCATATATATCACAGTGCATCATTATGACAGGTATGCTTTTGTGAATAAAAAATGCTTCAGCTGATTTTTGAAAATGGAAATTGTTGGGGCAGATCTTATTTTATATGGGATTTCGTTCCATACCTGGGGACCAAAGAACAAAAAGGAACGCTCGCCGTATGTTTTGTAGTTTTGTTTTGGAGTTTTAAGAATTAGATTGTCAGAGGCTGATCTAAGGGCTCTAGGTGGATTATATAATTCCAAGAATGTTTTAAGATAAAAAGGTGCACTATCATTTATACATTTAAAACAGAGAACGGCAGTTTTGTATTTAATCCTTTCTTTTATTGGCAGCCAGTGTAGTTCTTTCAGAATTGGTGTTACGTGGGCTGATTTCTTTTGTTTCATTATCAATTTTGCTGCTTGATTTTGGAGTACTTGTAACTTTGATAGTTTTTCGGATGTCAAACAGGACAAAATAACATTACAGTAATCTAACTTTGATAAAATGAGTGTTGTTACAAGTGTCTTGGCTGCTGCTTTAGTTAAATAATTTCTTACACTGCCAATTTTCTTAAGCTGAAAGTAAATACTTTTGCTGAGCTGGCTTATTTGGGAGGACATAGACATATCATAATCCAACTGAACCCCTAGATTTTTAAGACTTCTTTTTGAACGAATGGTATGGTTATTAATATCAATTTGTAGCTCTGGGAGATTTTTAATGGCTTTTGTATTTCCAATCAACATTATTTCCGTCTTGTCATCATTTAGTTTCAATTTATTGCTGGTCATCCATATTTTTAAATCTCTAGTACATTGTTCAGTAGAGTCGATTAAAAGTGGTATTTGATCGAAATCAATAGACTTATAAATTTGAGTGTCATCAGCATAAAGATGGTAATTCATGCCATATTGTCTTAAAATATCAGCAATAGGTTGTGTATACATTGTAAACAAGACAGGTCCAAGAACAGACCCCTGAGGAACACCACGTCTAAGCAAAACATTATTAGAACACGTGTTTCCAACCACAACTGCTTGTGTTCGATCCTTAAAATATGACTCAAACCATCGCAGGACAGTACCCTTTATGCCAAAAGTAGTATTTAATCTCTCGAGTAAAATATCATGATCAATGGTATCGAATGCAGCCGAAAGGTCTAAAAGAGTAAGAAGACATACCTTTTTTTCATCAATATATTTTAAAATATCAGTACAGACCCTAAGTAACGCTGTCTCGGTACTATGGTGTGCCTTATATGCTGACTGATAGACTTCGCTAAGATTATTTGCTTTCATATGATGTAACAGATGCTAATTACTTTAATAAAAGAATACAAAACAGTAATGCAGCACAATCTCATTTTCGACCAAGTGTAGCACGGGTTAGTCTGTAGTGTCTGACTTTTTATGTAGATCCCCGAAGTGAGTAACATTAACCAAGAGCCCATGGCATACGGGGCGCTTACGTCCCGTGAGTAAAAAAGAGTAAGGTACAATACGGTGACTACCGTGACATCTCCCCTTTTAATATTGAAGAAAAAGGAAAACCCCAAAATGGATTAAAGATTATCGGCTTCGAGTCTCTCAAAGGGGAATGTTCTAACTTTAACAAAATTCACACACAGAGTTCAATTGTCTTTGAAGATTCATGGCTTGCACTTGAGAACTTTGTAACACATTTCAATAAAGTTCTTTGGTATTTCATAATATCCACATTTCAAATTGTCTTTGTCACATTCATAGAACAGCATAGCGTCCCGATAACGAACTTGAGAAAATAAATTACTTCGAACAGGTAAGTCTACACAACTGTTGGGTAATCAGCAAAGAATAAACACAAAGTAAAATTTATCATCGAAAGGATACGACTGGGTCGCAAGAACATCAGTCCGGGTAACGAGCGGGTCTCCTGACCACTCGTCCACTTCGTGTAGTTATTGGAGCTGGACTGGCTGGAACGGCTGCTGGCTGAGGTGATAGTGGTGTGACATCAGGCTCCACCGGCTGGACAGCTGGTGGCGGAGGTAAGGGAACGGACATTGGAGTAGGCTCTGGGGTGGCAACAGGTGAAGAAGGCATGGAAGGAGGGTCGACGTAGGGCTTCAGGTGTTTGCGGTTCCGGCGGTAAGCCCTATCCCCAGACTGTATGATGTAAGACCTCGGTGCACACCGTTCTTTGACAACCGCAGGGCCACGCCACTCCTTGTCGTTCTCCAGCTTCTGCAGGACGAGCTGACCAGGATTCAGCTCCGGGAGGTTCTGGGCTCCGTGCCGTCTGTCAAAAGCTTGTTTGTACTTACGCTTCGACTCAGCGTCTCTGGCTGCAATCTTCGCCCTGTCGTAGACCTGCTGGTTCAGGTTTGACGGTAGAGTTGGCAGGGGCGTCCTCAGGCGTCGCCCAAGAGCAAGTTCCGCTGGGCTCGCCCCCGTCGGTGACACCGGTGTAGACCTGTAGATCAGGAGTGCGAGAAATGGGTCGTCCTGACTCAGGGCTTTCTTCGCTTTCCCCGACTGCTCTCTCCGACCCACCGTTGCTCTGGGGAAAATGAGGACTGCTGGTCGTGTGTTTAAATCCCCAGCCCTTGGCGAACTTGTGGAAACGGTCTGACACAAACTGAGGACCGTTGTCAGTCACCAGTAGTTCTGGAATGCCAAACCGAGCGAAGACGTTTTTCAGTTTGTACACGACAGTCTCTGAGGTGGTGTCTGGCATGTAGGCCACCTCCAAGTACCGTGAAAAGTAGTCCACGAGTACCAGGTAGTTATGTCCCTTGTAGTTGCAGAGGTCAGCACCAACCATCTGGAACGGCCGCTCAGGTAGAGCTGTCGGGGTTAGAGGTTCGCTTGGTTGTGCTGGACGTTTCCGCTGGCAATGGTCGCATCTTGAGACAACTTCCCGTATCTTGGAGCTGAGACCAGGCCACCGAATGGAAGATGTGGCCCGTTCTCGACACTTCGACACTCCAAGGTGACCGTCGTGGATCCTGCTGAGCATCTCTCCTCGCATTGCCTTGGGGATTACGATGCGGTTACCTCTGACGAGTAGTCCATGGACTTCGCTCAGTTCACTGGAAACTGCGTAGAGGTCGCGAGCTTCGGACTTGACGTTTTGTATGAATTTCGGCCAACCGCTTCTAGTGTACTGTATCGCAGCACTGATCGCTGGATCCTGTTGAGACTTGTTTCTGATTTCGTCAAGTTTGCTATCCGTGGCATCCCATGACATCTGGATTGTAGCGACATGAGCCTCGATTTCTTCACCAAATTCTTCAGGCTCGGTGCTCACTACTGGACTTCGGGACAAGGAGTCTGCGACAGTCATGTTTTTCCCTTGGGTGTATACTGCCTTTCCGCTGTAGCGCATCATCCTCATCAGCATTCGTTGGCAGCGGACAGGTGCATCATTCAGTTCTTTAGAGTTGATCAGGGGAACAATGGGCTTGTGGTCGGTGAGCAGTGTGAATGACGGCAGACCGATGAGGTAGCGATCGAACTTTTCGCACGCCCAGGTGGCCGCCAACAGTTCCTTTTCAATCTGAGCGTAGTTCTTCTCCGCCCTAGATAAAGTTCTGGAACAGTAGGCCACTGGCTGAAGATCACCCCGGTCTTCCTGGAGGAGAACTCCTCCCAGTCCGTAGCTGCTTGCATCGGCGCTTACAGTGACAGGCTTCCTCATATCAAAGAAGGCGAGTGTTGGAGCTGACGACAGTAACTTCTTGACATCAGTGAAGGCAGATGACTGCGCTGGAGTCCAGGCCCACTCAGCATCGTGATTCAGAAGATCGGTGAGCGGCTTCATGACTGTTGACAGATTTGGCACAAACCTGCCCAAATAGTTCACCATGCCGAGCACTCGTCGTAAGTCTGTAATGTTCTCTGGCTCTGGCATCTCAGTGATGGCGCTGACCTTGGATGGATCTGGCCTTACACCCTTCCCGCTGATGATGTGGCCAAGAAAATCGATTTCATCCTTGTCAAACTTGCACTTGGATTTGTTCAACCTGACCCCACGCTCCTTTAGCCGCTGGAAGACTTTCTTCTTCAGCTTATCATGTTTCTCCTGACCATCCGTGTGCAGGAGGATGTCGTCCATAAAGCACTCTACACCGTCTATGCCCGCTAGAATGTCTTGCATCGTACACTGAAATATCTCAGGCGCAGAGGTGATTCCAAAACAGAGACGTCTGTAGAAGTACCGACCGAACGGGGTAATGAAAGTGGTCAGCTTCGAGGAGTCGTCGTCCAGTGCCAACTGCCAAAAGGATGAAGTTGCATCAAGCTTGCTGAACTTGTTTGATCCACTGAGTTTGTACAATATGTCGTCTATGGTGGGCAGCATGAATCGTTCACGCTTCACCGATAGGTTGAGCTTTTTCAGATCTGTGCAGATTCTAACACTACCAGACCTTTTTCTGACCGGGACCATGGGTGCACACCAGTCAGTTGGAGCGCTGATCTTCTCAATGACACCTGCGGCCTCCATACGGTCTAGTTCAGCTTTGACTTCGTCCATGAGTGGAATGGGAATCCGACGTGCGACGTTCACGGAGTATGGCTGTGCATCTTCTTTCAAGATGATTTTCACTGGCTCGCAGCGTATAGGTTTAGGTCCCACATAGCCGAACACGAGGTTGGCAGAGCCTATTCTGTCTCGAGAAATCAGTCCCAGACGAACTGCGGCGTCGCGACTGAGAAGACAGTCGGTGTCGTCGTCCAGGACGAAAACACGGAACGCAAAGTTGCGATTGTTATGCAGCGTAGTTGCGATAAATTCTCCCACGCTCCTTATGACTCCACCAGGACTGCGAAGAACTGCAGACGTTGTTTTCAGCTTTGGACGAGGACTGAGACGGTTGTAGACGGCCTTCGACATTATCGAAACATCGGCCCCTAGCGGGCATAGACGGTGTAGAGTGCTTTATGGACGACATCCTCCTGCACACGGATGGTCAGGAGAAACATGATAAGCTGAAGAAGAAAGTCTTCCAGCGGCTAAAGGAGCGTGGGGTCAGGTTGAACAAATCCAAGTGCAAGTTTGACAAGGATGAAATCGATTTTCTTGGCCACATCATCAGCGGGAAGGGTGTAAGGCCAGATCCATCCAAGGTCAGCGCCATCACTGAGATGCCAGAGCCAGAGAACATTACAGACTTACGACGAGTGCTCGGCATGGTGAACTATTTGGGCAGGTTTGTGCCAAATCTGTCAACAGTCATGAAGCCGCTCACCGATCTTCTGAATCACGATGCTGAGTGGGCCTGGACTCCAGCGCAGTCATCTGCCTTCACTGATGTCAAGAAGTTACTGTCGTCAGCTCCAACACTCGCCTTCTTTGATATGAGGAAGCCTGTCACTGTAAGCGCCGATGCAAGCAGCTACGGACTGGGAGGAGTTCTCCTCCAGGAAGACCGGGGTGATCTTCAGCCAGTGGCCTACTGTTCCAGAACTTTATCTAGGGCGGAGAAGAACTACGCTCAGATTGAAAAGGAACTGTTGGCGGCCACCTGGGCGTGCGAAAAGTTCGATCGCTACCTCATCGGTCTGCCGTCATTCACACTGCTCACCGACCACAAGCCCATTGTTCCCCTGATCAACTCTAAAGAACTGAATGATGCACCTGTCCGCTGCCAACGAATGCTGATGAGGATGATGCGCTACAGCGGAAAGGCAGTATACACCCAAGGGAAAAACATGACTGTCGCAGACTCCTTGTCCCGAAGTCCAGTAGTGAGCACCGAGCCTGAAGAATTTGGTGAAGAAATCGAGGCTCATGTCGCTACAATCCAGATGTCATGGGATGCCACGGATAGCAAACTTGACGAAATCAGAAACAAGTCTTAACAGGATCCAGCGATCAGTGCTGCGATACAGTACACTAGAAGCGGTTGGCCGAAATTCATACAAAACGTCAAGTCCGAAGCTCGCGACCTCTACGCAGTTTCCAGTGAACTGAGCGAAGTCCATGGACTACTCGTCAGAGGTAACCGCATCGTAATCCCCAAGGCAATGCGAGGAGAGATGCTCAGCAGGATCCACGACGGTCACCTTGGAGTGTCGAAGTGTCGAGAACGGGCCACATCTTCCATTCGGTGGCCTGGTCTCAGCTCCAAGATACGGGAAGTTGTCTCAAGATGCGACCATTGCCAGCGGAAACGTCCAGCACAACCAAGCGAACCTCTAACCCCGACAGCTCTACCTGAGCGGCCGTTCCAGATGGTTGGTGCTGACCTCTGCAACTACAAGGGACATAACTACCTGGTACTCGTGGACTACTTTTCACGGTACTTGGAGGTGGCCTACATGCCAGACACCACCTCAGAGACTGTCGTGTACAAACTGAAAAACGTCTTCGCTCGGTTTGGCATTCCAGAACTACTGGTGACTGACAACGGTCCTCAGTTTGTGTCAGACCGTTTCCACAAGTTCGCCAAGGGCTGGGGATTTAAACACACGACCAGCAGTCCTCATTTTCCCCAGAGCAACGGTGGGTCGGAGAGAGCAGTCGGGGAAAGCGAAGAAAGCCCTGAGTCAGGACGACCCATTTCTCGCACTCCTGATCTACAGGTCTACACCGGTGTCACCGACGGGGGCGAGCCCAGCGGAACTTGCTCTTGGGCGACGCCTGAGGACGCCCCTGCCAACTCTACCGTCAAACCTGAACCAGCAGGTCTACGACAGGGCGAAGATTGCAGCCAGAGACGCTGAGTCGAAGCGTAAGTACAAACAAGCTTTTGACAGACGGCACGGAGCCCAGAACCTCCCGGAGCTGAATCCTGGTCAGCTCGTCCTGCAGAAGCTGGAGAACGACAAGGAGTGGCGTGGCCCTGCGGTTGTCAAAGAACGGTGTGCACCGAGGTCTTACATCATACAGTCTGGGGATAGGGCTTACCGCCGGAACCGCAAACACCTGAAGCCCTACGTCGACCCTCCTTCCATGCCTTCTTCACCTGTTGCCACCCCAGAGCCTACTCCAATGTCCGTTCCCTTACCTCCGCCACCAGCTGTCCAGCCGGTGGAGCCTGATGTCACACCACCATCACCTCAGCCAGCAGCCGTTCCAGCCAGTCCAGCTCCAATAACTACACGAAGTGGACGAGTGGTCAGGAGACCCGCTCGTTACCCGGACTGATGTTCTTGCGACCCAGTCGTATCCTTTCGATGATAAATTTTACTTTGTGTTTATTCTTTGCTGATTACCCAACAGTTGTGTAGACTTACCTGTTCGAAGTAATTTATTTTCTCAAGTTCGTTATCGGGACGCTATGCTGTTCTATGAATGTGACAAAGACAATTTGAAATGTGGATATTATGAAATACCAAAGAACTTTATTGAAATGTGTTACAAAGTTCTCAAGTGCAAGCCATGAATCTTCAAAGACAATTGAACTCTGTGTGTGAATTTTGTTAAAGTTAGAACATTCCCCTTTGAGAGACTCGAAGCCGATAATCTTTAATCCATTTTGGGGTTTTCCTTTTTCTTCAATATTAAAAGGGGAGATGTCACGGTAGTCACCGTATTGTACCTTACTCTTTTTTACTCACGGGACGTAAGCGCCCCGTATGCCATGGGCTCTTGGTTAATGTTACTCACTTCGGGGATCTACATAAAAAGTCAGACACTACAGACTAACCCGTGCTACACTTGGTCGAAAATGAGATTGTGCTGCATTACTGTTTTGTATTCTTTTATTAAAGTAATTAGCATCTGTTACATCATATTAAAGCAAATAATCTTAGCGAAGTCTATCAGTCAGCATATAAGGCACACCATAGTACCGAGACAGCGTTACTTAGGGTCTGTACTGATATTTTAAAATATATTGATGAAAAAAAGATATGTCTTCTTACTCTTTTAGACCTTTCGGCTGCATTCGATACCATTGATCATGATATTTTACTCGAGAGATTAAATACTACTTTTGGCATAAAGGGTACTGTCCTGCGATGGTTTGAGTCATATTTTAAGGATCGAACACAAGCAGTTGTGGTTGGAAACACGTGTTCTAATAATGTTTTGCTTAGACGTGGTGTTCCTCAGGGGTCTGTTCTTGGACCTGTCTTGTTTACAATGTATACACAACCTATTGCTGATATTTTAAGACAATATGGCATGAATTACCATCTTTATGCTGATGACACTCAAATTTATAAGTCTATTGATTTCGATCAAATACCACTTTTAATCGACTCTACTGAACAATGTACTAGAGATTTAAAAATATGGATGACCAGCAATAAATTGAAACTAAATGATGACAAGACGGAAATAATGTTGATTGGAAATACAAAAGCCATTAAAAATCTCCCAGAGCTACAAATTGATATTAATAACCATACCATTCGTTCAAAAAGAAGTCTTAAAAATCTAGGGGTTCAGTTGGATTATGATATGTCTATGTCCTCCCAAATAAGCCAGCTCAGCAAAAGTATTTACTTTCAGCTTAAGAAAATTGGCAGTGTAAGAAATTATTTAACTAAAGCAGCAGCCAAGACACTTGTAACAACACTCATTTTATCAAAGTTAGATTACTGTAATGTTATTTTGTCCTGTTTGACATCCGAAAAACTATCAAAGTTACAAGTACTCCAAAATCAAGCAGCAAAATTGATAATGAAACAAAAGAAATCAGCCCACGTAACACCAATTCTGAAAGAACTACACTGGCTGCCAATAAAAGAAAGGATTAAATACAAAACTGCCGTTCTCTGTTTTAAATGTATAAATGATAGTGCACCTTTTTATCTTAAAACATTCTTGGAATTATATAATCCACCTAGAGCCCTTAGATCAGCCTCTGACAATCTAATTCTTAAAACTCCAAAACAAAACTACAAAACATACGGCGAGCGTTCCTTTTTGTTCTTTGGTCCCCAGGTATGGAACGAAATCCCATATAAAATAAGATCTGCCCCAACAATTTCCATTTTCAAAAATCAGCTGAAGCATTTTTTATTCACAAAAGCATACCTGTCATAATGATGCACTGTGATATATATGCATGTGCATGCCAGACTGTGAGACTGGAGAAATAGCGAGTGAGAATGAGAGAGAGAAAAAGAGAGATATAGAGAGAGAAGAGAGAGAGAAAAGAGAGAGAAAAGAGAGAGATAACGAGAGAGGGAGAGAGAAAGAGAGAGAGAGAGAGATAGAGGGAGAGGGAGGGAGAGAGAGGGAGAGAGAGACAGACAGAGAGAGAGAGAGAGAGAGAGAGAGAGAGAGAGAGAGAGAGAGAGAGAGAACGGAAATATTTTTCTATCTGTATAGAATTAATGTTTTAATGAATGTTTCTAGTTACTCACGTTTCAACTGTATTTTGACTGTTCGTGAATTCATATTGCATTGTATATTTTTAGTGAACACATTTTCAACCTCACTGTGAGACTGTTTTTCTGGTATATCATTTTACACATATGCATTTATATTATATGTATAATACTTTGTTTTACGTACACATTTATGTCGATTAATTTTTAAGATGTGATGTCTTTTTCATTGTAATGCGCATTGAGCATCTTTTAGGAAATGGAAATGCGCAGTATAAATGTTATTTATTATTATTATTATTATCTGAAAAAGAAGTCACAAATTTTGTTTTGGAATGCATATGAATAAAGTGAATATAAACTTAAAACGATGTCATTCAACAGTTATGCGGTCTAGCTTGTCTTATCATAGTCCACGACGATAAAAATCAGCTACTATGTCCTAAAAATATTATTGGGGTAACACTTGTAACCAAAACTTTGGTTAAAATGATTTAGTCAGTGTAACCATTAAGACCAATGTATAAACTTACATTCCTCTTGTTGAAGCTAATATTAACTTTTGATGAAAACTACGGGCAAAGCTACACTGTGGACAAAGCGAAGCAGCACGGGCAGGGCAATCAAAATAAAACCAAAGGGGAAGACGGACTTTACAAGCCATACCAGGAACGGCACGAAGCGAGGAGATGCCCGGAGAAATTTCGGCCGATGTACAATCGCTTTCATCGCTTGAAATGTACATGCGTGCACACGAGCACCTTATTGACAGCATGCTTGACACAAGTAGATCTACATAATTTCAGTGGTGATAACAAGAAAGGAAAACGAGGAAAGTTAGTGAAAACTGTTTGTCAAAACAAAAATGAAAAATAAAAGCAAAGCACACAATGCTTACTTTTAATCAAAGAAAAACATAACATTGGCCTCTTTTCAATTAATTTGTTGACCAAGATCTACCTGTCCATCGGTTCTCTATAACATTCCCTTCTTAACACTCTTACCATCTGTCTCTCATTCTTTCTTTCTCAATCCTCGAGATAGGACGTCTGAAGTTAGTATTCCTTCGGTGAGTTTAGCCAAGAACATTTCATGCAGATAGAAAAAGGAATCACGACTCATTCAAACTGAATCTACCCATCTGCTTTTGTCGTCTGGCAAATTTCTCTTCAAGTGGTGAATATCACCAAACTAATGACGCATTTAATTAATCGGGTTCGCCTACTCCTTTCTTTCTTTTTTTTTCTTTTTAGTTACTGCGTCTATCAAAAGAAACGGCGCCAATATGTTTCTGTTCATTTTCAACTGAAACTAAAATTGACATGGAAAATCCCATACAACGTCGCATCGCTTGCATTGCCCTCTTTGCCTTGTTCCCGGAGTTTACGCTTTGTTTTTCACCGCCAAGCCTACAGTATGACATTACCCAAAATATACTTTGTATTTCCTTGACAGAGTCTATCTGCAAAGTTTAATTTTTGATGCTCGATCTTAAATATTATATTCGAAACACCGAGCCAAGTAACCTTATCCTTGTATTTGTTATGTTTCAGACAACGATAACAAGTTGTCAACTTCAATTGCCTCAACTGCCAACCTCAAAGCTAGAAATATGTGGCATCAACGCATAAAAGTCTTAAAATAAAAATTTTAAAGTAGCTACTCATTCTATAAAGATAAAACACAAAGACGAAGACTTAGTCTAAATCATTACGATGACGAAATCAAACACTTTGTCCAATTTCCGTTTCGAAACAACAATCACTATGAAAACCAACAACCCTTGTTTTGGCATGGGCCCAAACTCACCGGTTTCCTTGAGGGACTCTTAGATTTCATCAATGAATCACACATTTTGCAGTCATATAACAAAGGAAGCAAATTTTAAGGAAATTCAAGGCTTAATCATTACTTACATCTTAATCGTTATCCCGCTAAAATTGCGTGACGAAGTCATTCATATTCACTTTCTATAGACACCGTTGTCTTTCCGGGGAATAGATGAAAGCCAAGTTGATGGAAGTCAGTGCACCTGACACAAAAACACCGAACTAAAATTTCGAGCAACTTCCGGCGCAGATCTTAATCGTTAAAACGTGACAAAAATTCACAGACGCAACTATTCACCGCCAAAAATTCGTAATCGCTGTAGCAATTTTGTTCTAGGTTGATGAAATGACTAAAGTGATCGTATTTCTCATTCTACAGTGAAAAATTACACTTTTTAAAGGATCGATTGGACTGAAGATAGGGTTACTGTTTTTTACCATTTTACGGACGAGACGTGTAGCGTTTAAGACCGAATTTCATAACCTTTGTAAGAATAAATGGGCCGTTCATCATCATCCAGTGCCAGATCTGCGACAGACATCGACGATCATGATTTTCCATTCATTCCTTTGCTCGGATGCTCTCAGAAAAGCTACGTTTCCCTGATTTTTCCCTGTTACCCATTTGTTTAGGTTCCCTAAGTATGTTGTTCTGGGCCTACCCCTGCCTCGCCTGCCCTCAATTACCCTGAAAGTTATACTTAAGATCAGTATTAAACCCTTAATTACGAAAATGAGATTCAGACAATTCTTAGAGAAATCTTAGGATGAAAACTGTCTCTGGTGAATGTTACGTTTTCATACCTAAAAAATGCAGAATTTCTAACAAAAAAGCCCCACACTGTTTCAGCAAGTCGTTTTTTTTTTGTGGACATTTTCTGCCTAGTCCAGGTTCGTCAACCTTTTCACCACCGGCTAAGCTAATCTTAACTATGATTTGAAATAAATACCGCTTTTTATGGCGTCTGTGGTAAAGGGTATGTGCAAGTTCAAGTTTTCAGGACAATTCCCCATATATATATGTATATATAATGTAGGTATATA